AGGCTAAGTAGAGCAAGGTAAGAGGGGTCAGGTTGAGTATAGTGGTTCTAAAAATACCTCCATAAATTTATTTATTTATTTATTTATTTTCCTTTTTGTCTTTTTTCGTGTCCAGCAATGGATCGCAACCCTCAGTGTCGCGCCTGTACCGGACCGGGACTGGCAACGGGATCGCAACCCTCGGTGTTGCTCTCACACCTCGCTCAACCAGTGAGCGGGAACTGGTCTGTATGTGGGATCCGAACCCTCGGCGGGAGTGCCACCACGCTCCCAAGAGGCGCACTGTAGCAGTGCGCCACCGGGCCGGCCCCCATAAAAATACCTCCATAAATTTTTTGATACTCCTCCCTTCAAGAGGTAGAGCTTAATTCTGCTTATCTTGGCAGTGAGCCAGACTGAGTGACTCACTTCTAACAAACAGAACATGGCAAAAGTGATGGTTATCACTTCCAAGATTAGGTTATGAAAGATCTGCTTTTGTCTTGGGTACATTTTCTCTTTCTTACATCACTTGCTCTGAGCTAGCGGCCAGGTTGTCAGCAGCCCTATGGAGAAGCTCATGTGGCAAGTAACTGAAGCCTCCAGCCAACAATCAGCAAGGAATTGAGGCCTGCCAACAATCATGTGAGTGAGCATGAAAGTGGATTTTCCTGCCCTAGCTGAGCCTTGAGATGACTGCAACCTGTGAGAGACCCCAATCCAAAACCACTCACCTAAACTGCCCCCAAATTCCTGACCCTTGGAAACTGTACCAGATAATACACGCTTGTTGTTTTAAGCTGCAAAATATTAGAGTAATTGTTATATGGCGATACATAACTAATGTAGGAAAGGTAGGAAGGGGGGAATCACAGTATTAAATAGGGTAGTCTATGTCTAATTCAGAAGGTGACATTTGAACTAAGACTTGAAAGAGGTGAGGGAGGCATGTCTGAGGAACAGCAAGGAGGCCAGTTGTGACTGAAGCTAAATAATGGAGGTAGAAAGTGGTAGAAGGGGTTAACCAGTAGGGTGGCCAGCTGATACAGGAACTTACAGGTCATTGTAATGATACTGGCTTTTCTTCTAGATTAAAGGGAGTGCTATTGCAGGGTTTTGACCAGAAAATGTTGTGATGTTACCAAAAACTTTAACAGATGCATTAAAGAGAATATAAAGAATATGCCATGTATTTAAATTGTTTTTATATCATATTTTTCATTGATAACTACAGATCAAATTCTTTTGCAGTTCAATTTTAACAGTGTAATGGATCAGAGGGAAAAAGTATAGCCATAAGAAAAGATTCTTAGGAAATGGATATAAACAATCCTGGCCATATTCACTGAAAAGTATACAACCAAATATAATTTACATTGCATCATGTTTTTCAGTCAAGGATTGCAGGGGAAAAACACAAAACTCTATAAAAGGTTTCTAAACTGTTCACTGTGCACAACCTGGGGAAAACTATTACCTTTCTTTTTTCTTTTAGACCTCTACCTTCCATTATGTGCATTTGCAAACAAGTCAATGTGCTTTATTAAAAGAATGGAGCAGAGAAAGGCCCAAGAGCCGCCAGGCCCACACGGCCCTAGACAGCCATGCCAGAACAGGCAGGCGCTGCACGCCAGGGGACCCCCAGCCCAGGCCAGTCCCCACCACCCAGAGAAGCGAGAGCTGCTGGGCCCACACGCCCCAAGACAGCTGCACTGGAACAGGCAGGTGCCACGGGACTCCCCAGTCCAGGCCAGTCCCTGCCACCCAAGGAGGCCTGAGAGCCACCACGCCCACATGCTCCGAGCCAGCCATGCCAGAACAGGAAGGCGCCATGTCATGGGACCCCAGCCCAGGCCAGTCCCTGCCATTCAGTGAGGCCCAAGAGACACCAGGCCCACATGCCTGTAGCCAGCTGTGCTGGAACAGGCAGGTGCCATGGGACCCCCAGCCCAAGCCAGTTCACGCTGCGCAGAATTGGCAATCCCTGCAGGATCCAGGCCAGACATCAGGGTGGAATGTGTGGACTGCAATAGTCCCTGCCACAATGACTAAACACCAAAGGAAAGATACCAGAAATATGAAAAATCAAGGAAGTATGACACCACCAAAGGAAAATAAACTCTCAAGCTCTAGATCCTATAGAAGAAGAAATTTTTGAAATGACTGACAAGGAACTTTGAGCAACAGTTCTAAGGAAACTAAATGAGATACAACAAAACTCAATTAGACAACACAATGAAATGAGAAAAAATATACAAGACCTGAAAGAAGAAAAGTACAAAGAAATTAATGCCCTGAAAAAGAATGTAGCAGAGCTTATGGAGCTGAAGGATTCATTCAATGAAATAAAAAACATAACAGAGAGTTTAACCAGCAGGCTAGAACAAGCAGAAGAGGGAATTTCTGACCTTGAAGATGGGCTGTTTGAATTAACACAGGCAAACCAAAAGAAAAAAGAATTTAAAAAATTGAAACAAATCTAAGAGTAGTAACAGACAACCTTAAGCACTCAAATATTAGAATCACGGGTATTCCAGAAGGGGAGGAAAAAAGAAATGGCATTGAAAACATATTCAATGAAATAATAGCAGCAAACTTCCCAGGTATAGGGGAAGTCACAGATCTTCAAATTCAGGAGACCCAAAGGTCCCCAAACACATTTAACCCAAAAAGGTCCTCTCTAAGACATGTTATAGTCAGACCAGCAAAACTCGAAGACAACGAGAGAATCTTAAAAGCTGCAAGAGAGAAGTGGCAAGTCACTTATAAGGGAGCCCCAATCAAACTAACATCAGACTTTTCATCGGAAACCCTAAAAGCCAGAAAAGAATGGGATGACATATTCAAAATGCTAAAAGACAAATATTGTCAGCCAAGAATACTTTACCCAGCAAGGCTATCCTTCCAAAATGAAGGACAAATAGTATATTTCTCAGACAAACAAAAACTGCAGGAGTTCTCTACCACACGACCAGCCTTACAAGAAATTCTCAAGGGAGTACTGGGTTTGATAGCTGAAAAATAACCATCACTACCATTAATACTCAAGAAAGAACAAAACCCACCAATAAAACAAAAGGCTAACAATAAAGAGAAAAAATAGTTGATCTGTCACCCCAAGAAACCAACAAACAGACGACAAACAGAAAATCAGAAAGAAAGTAACAAAAGATACTTAAGACATCTAACCAAAAAGCAATAAAATGCTAGGAATAAATCAACACCTTTCAATAATAACTCTAAATACAAAAGGATTAAATTCCCCACTCAAAAGACACAGACTGACTGACTAGATTAAAAAGACAGACCCAAAAATATGCTGCTTTCAAGAGACTCACTTGACCTGTAAAGACACATAGACAAAGAGTGAAAGGATGGAAAAAGGTATACCCTGCAAATAGAAATGAAAAACGAGCTGGAGTAGCTATTCTTATATCAGATAAAATAGACTTTAAACTAAAAACCATAAAAAGAAGTGAAGAAGGCCACTTTATAATGATAAAAGGATCTATCCATCAAGAAGACATAATCAAATACATACGCACCGAACATTGGAGCAGCCAGATTTATAAAGCAAACACTATTAGACCTAAAGAATGAGATAGACACTAAAACCATAGTAACAGGGGACCTGAACACCCCACTCTCAACATTGGACAGATCATCTGGGCAAAAAATCTATAGAGAAACACAAGATCTAAACAATACTTTAGACCAATTGGACTTTGAAGATATCTACAGAACATTCCATCCAACAACCTCAGAATATTCATTCTTCTCATAGGACATGGAACATTCTCTATGATAGACCACATGTTGGTTACAAGTCATGTCCAACAAAAAATTCAAAAGAATTGGAATTATTCCATGTGTTTTCTCAGACCACAATGGATTAAAACTAGAAATCAACAACACATGAAATTCTGGAAACTATACAAACACATGGAAATTAAACAACATTCTACTTAATGACATATGGGTCCAAGAAGAAATTAAACAGGAAATCAAAAAATTTATTGAAACTAGTGAAAATAAAGATACATCATACCAAAACCTGTGGGATACTGCAAAAGCAGTATTAAGGGGGAAATTTATTGCATTAAATGCTTACTTCTTAAGAATGGAAAGATGGCAAGTAAACAACCTAACACTTCAAATTAAAGAACTAGAAAAACAAGAACAATCCAAACCCAAAGTTAGTAGCCAGAAAGAAATAATTAAGACAGAGCAGAACTATAAGAAATAGAAACCCAAAAAATGATACAAAAGATCAATGAAACAAAAAGTTGGTTTTTTTAAAAGATAAATAAAATTGACAAACCTTTAGCAAGGCTAAGAGAGAAGAGAGAAGACCCAAATAACAAAAATTAGAAATGAAAATGGTGATATTATAACTTATACCTCAGAAATACAAGGAATCATTAGAGACTATTATAAACAACTATATGCCAAAAAATTTGAAAATCTGGAGGAAGTGGGAAAATTTCTGGACACATATAAACTATCAAAATTGAGCCAAGAAGAATGGAATACTACTCTGCTATAAAAAAGAATGAAATACTGCCATTTACAACAACATGAATGGACTTAGAGAAAATTATATTAAGTGAAACAAGTCAGGCACAGAAAGAGAAATACCACATGTTCTCATTTATTTGTGGGGGCTAAAAACAAGTAAGTATATATACAAAGAAATAAACAGTAGGGGAAAGAAGACACAACAATCACAACAATTCCTTGAACTTAAGACAAGTGATCAGATATGGTGTAGACAGGGGGAGGGAGAGGGGAAAGAGGAAGGATAAAGGGACATGAATATCAACTACATTGTATATTGAGAAGTTAAAATAAAAATTAATTAATTAATTATTTTTTAAAAACAGAATGGAGCAAAAACTCCACCAAATGTATTTTCTCAAAACTTATGGGGAAAATAAATTTAATTTCTATATTTCTAAATTAAATTTCCGTAATTCTATACAAACATGATGAACAGCTATAACAAGGCAGTTTAATCTTACCTGATGTGAGACATTTTTTATGTTTAGGAACATATCTCTCAAGGAGACGCTTCATACATAAATCCTGGGCCTCATCCAAAGCACACTTTCCATTGTCATTTTTAGATAATGGATTGGCTCCATTCAAAAGAAGTAACTTTGCCACCTAGGAAAAGATTGTTCATGTAAGGGAGCCCAGACAAAGGGTATACTACTGTAAATATGTGCTAGCATACAACTCTAAGTTAACATCAAATACTTCTTTTGACAACACAATTGAGAGGTTTAAATTTGTTGTAATTTTGTCCTTTGACATACCAAAAACAATTGAATCGTATACTTCAAATGGGTGAATTTTATAGTATATGAATTATATATCTATTAATCTGTTTATAACACCACACTCTAACCAACTGAGCTAATAAATCTGTTTTAAAATGAATGTATTATAACAGTTTTTTTCCTCCATACCTTATATTTTAAAACTTTCAAACACACACAAAAAAGCTGAAAGAACAATACAATGAATACCAATATACCCTTCACCTGGAGCCAAGAATTAATATTTGTTTCCCCACCCCCACACATATATGCATACATCTCTATATGTATGTAAATGTTTGAATATATACATATATACATAAAAATGCTAAAATATTTGAAAATAAGTTGTAAATACAATGACACTTCATCCCTAAATACCTAAGTGTACATCTCCTAAGACCATACTCTTACCCAACCATAATATCATTACCACACTTAGGCTATTAACTATAAATTCTATAATATCATCCAATATCTAGTCCACACTTATACTTCCCAAACCGCTCCACAAACATATGTTATAGCTATTTTGAAAGAATCAGGATCCAATCTTGGTTCACATTTGTCCTGCTACTATTTTTTCTTCAAGTATTGACTTTTGATAGAGTCCAGGCCAATTTTGCTTGCAGAATGTCCCACATTCTGGATATACTGATTATTTCTTTCTGGAGACATTTAACTTATTCCATTATTTTCTGTGTTTCCTGTAAACTAGAAGTTAGTTTACAGTGGCTTGATAGATTTGATCTATACCTAATATTTGACATGTTTCTAACTTTTATCTTTTGCCTTAAAAAAAAGTCATAAGCCCTTGCACCTTCATTTATGAAGGAAAAAAGGGTGCACAGTATCAGTGCAAAGTAAAAGCATAAGTTTCTCTTTGTTCAGCCTATATACAGACAATATTTATCTTATTTGACATAATGGCATCATCAGATGCACACATGTGCTATATGTAGTGAAAAGGGTGACAGTAATAGCACTTCTAACAGCTCTCATAAATGAAATACACAAACCAACATGATTTACTAAAGAGACTGGTACTGGAAACACTATGGCGAACGCCAAGCTCTGCCAATATTTCTCTATTCACTCCCATTGCTTTCATCACTTCAAGACTTTATGGTCAAATGGTCCACACATCATACAAATGGCACAAAAAACTATTACTTTGAAAGTATAAGTCGTTGAGAACAACAGAGGACACAATCTGATTGGAAAAGCTATAACATGTCTAGGAGACAAAAATGCCATATGACATGCAGGGACAATATAAGCAAAATCCTTAAAAAATTATTTAAGGCTAAGCAATATGATTATTCTGCTTTTCAAACTACTTTATTGTGGTAATTTAATGCTAGATAGGTAAGTTGAAAATAACACTAGATACAATTAAATCTATAATTCATATTCAAGCACAACCTATGTATAGGAAGATAAAGGATTTATGCCTGGATATTCACATTTTGTTAAGCAAAGAAAATACATAATGCATTGATTTCTTTTCAGGAAAAGGGCTGTGGCATTTATCTCTGGAGATTTTGTGTCAATAATAAACCATGCAGTGTAAGAGGGACTCAGGATCAAGGAGAAAGAGGAATGGAGGAAGGGAAAAGGCCTTCCTCTTCTGGAAATCCAGATTAGTGATCCCAATGGAGTGAATATGTTACTTTGGCAGCCTGTTTTATACAATGGATAGTCTACTTCACCAACTATCCACATAAAGAGGAATGGAGGAAGGGAAAAGGCCTTCCTCTTCTGGAAATCCAGATTAGTGATCCCAAGGGAGTGAATATGTTACTTTGGCAGCCTGTTTTATACAATGGATAGTCTACTTCACCAACTATCCACACTTATCAATTCCTTCTGTAGCCTGACACTAAGAATTCTGAAGCCTGCTTTAAATTCTGAAGCCCCCCAGCTTTAAACCTACCCTTAGGTTCTGCATTACTTAGCTTTTGCTACCTAAAAAATTGCTACCTTAAATATTACTCCAAAACTTAGTGGCTTCAGGAATCTGAGACTGTATAGGTGAGTGGTTCTGTCTGAAGTTCTCTCATGAGGCTGTAGTCAAGATGTTCACAGGGGATATAATCATATAAAAGCTTGATTGGGGCTCAAGGACCTGTTTCTAAGATGGCTCACTCACATGGCTACAGGCAGGAGCCAGGTTTCATTGTCATGTGGACCTCTCCATAGAGCTGCTTGGGTGTCCACACAATATGATATCTGGATTCCCTCAGGGTTAATGAATCAAGAGAGAGATCTAGAAGGAAGCTACAATGCCTGTTAACCTAGCCTTAGAAGTCACATACTTTTGCCATATTCTGTCTGTTAGAAACAAGTCACTAAAACTCCAGCCCACACTCCTGAGGAGAGGAATCAGGCTCCATCTTTTGAAGGGAGGAATGTTGAAGAATTTGACTACATATTTCAAAGCCACCATAGGTTCTTAATTGGAACAAGCAAAGCAATTTCAGTAAGTGGAATCACAATCCCAATTTATTTCGCTCAAACAGTAGGTCCCTTAAGGAAATACACTGCTACTTAAAGCTTGCCATGGATTTTCACCTTTAATCAAGTGCTTCCTCTTTCTAGAATCAGCTTACTTCCTTAAATAAGAAGCCAGTAGAACAGAGAATAAAATTCTTTCAAGTACTAAAAAGACAGTATTTTGACTATTCATCCCTAATGGGATATACCCTGAGAACAAAAAGAACTACCAAAAAACCTTCATTAGTAATTTTCTTGCTAATAGCAATACTGACATTTTTAGTAGTACTATTGTAAGTATATTATACAATGAAGAAATAAGTAATTAAATTAATGTATTAAGAAACAAATGTTTAGCATAAGAAAAAAAAGACACAAGTATAAAACCAAAGTTAAGTATAAATCTATACTATTAAGTATAAAATGGAAATAGTATGAACTTTTGTTTTCTAAAATGTGTATTTCACTGAAAATGCCTAAAAGCAACATCCATTGGCAATGAGCACACCTAGCACCCAGACAGTGGTCTCTAAATAGATTTTACATTTAAACATAACCATTTACAGAAAATAGGGGAAGAAACAAGCTAAACACCACCACAAAAATAAAATTAGCCAAATTCAGAATGTGGGAAATTCTAATGAACCAATAACCCAGTTTCTGTAACAAATGGGAGACATAAAAAAAACCCTTCCTATATAAAATATAGGAAGAACTGTTGTAGCTTAAAACTACTTAAGACACATAATGACTGTGTATAATCAAAAAATGCTCTGTGTAGTTATTAAAAGTAATATGTAAATTGGTATCTACCATACTAGGCACAACAAACCAATCACATAGTACAATTTTGTCACAAATTCTGAGTAGTCATTAGCAGAATGAACTGAAACTAAAATTGCTGTTTTTCTATTGCTTTGTCCCAGAAATATTTAATATTTGCAGAATATAGTATTTGCTCTACAAAAGCATCATAGTACCTTATAATGTCTGTTCATCACAGCATCATGTAGGGGAGTAATCTGGTACATTCCTTTGATATTTACATCTGCTCCACCTTTTATTAGTTCACTTGTTGTCCTATAAAATCCTCCTACACTAGCTTCATGAAGTGCTGTCCAACCTATTACACAAAAAGAAAATGGCATTTGTTTATATTTAGCACCTTAATAATGTTTTGTGTTTGTCCTTAAAAAAAAGAACTCTTAACTCTTGATTGTTTATTTTAATTTTACATATATATTTTTTTTTTCTGTGTCCAGCCGGTGCAGAGTTCCAAACTCTTGACCTTGGTGTTACAAGGAGACCCTCTAACCAACTGAGCTAACCAGCCAGCCCCCAAATATTTTAACTAGATAATATCACCATGAAAGCATCCTGTGTTATTTGTTGGATTCAGTATATCTGAGGTACAAATCAAATTCCTATCCCTCAACTCTGTTCTAAAAAAAATATGAAAGTATTCCTGACCTCCCCAAATAAAAAGGCTGTACAGGGGTCATTATCAACTGATAGAGAATGTTGGCTGCAGGCTATTTTTCTACAGAGAAGCGGCAAGAAAGCTTTATTTCTAGTTCAAGGTACTTCCACTAAAGTAACTCATCTGGCAGAACTACATATCTGTCAGTTCAAAAGTGTATATTTCTTTTCTCCTTGTTTGCAAAAAGCTATTTGTAGTAGTTCAACTAACAAATCACAAACTGCTCTAAGAAAACCAGTCATCCATATAAATACCCTTTTTCTTCATTAGCCAGAGACAACAGTATAACTTATAAATATTAAATTCCAATAAATCAGAAAATAGATGTAAGAAAACCTAAAAGTTGCATGTTAAAATTGTATTTCACTAGCTCTTTTCAGAACATCCTCCTTAAACCAGGGTTTCTCAGTATCAGCACTGACATTTTGGGCTGGATGATTCTTTGTTGTTCTGAGCATTGTAGAATGGTTAGCAATTTCCCTAACCTCAACCCACCAGATGATAGGTGCCTCCTATTCCAGTTGTAACAACTGAAAATGTTTCCAAAGACTGCCAAATGTATCCCGGGGAACAAAATCACCCCAGTTGAGAACCACTGCCATAAAATATTATAGAAAGAGTTTCTTCTATAGTATTAATTATAAAGTCTTGAGAAAGAAATGAAGAGCACCAAAAAATGGTAAGTATATAGTTAATAGAGTTTTTTTTCCTATAAATTTCCTTAATAAGTATATGGCTATTTAAAGCAAAAATTGTAACAATTTTTGGTACTTGTATGTAGGTGTGATATATGTGATAGCTATAGCACAAAGAATGAGGAGGACTAAATGGACCTATATTAAATGTTCTTATGTTTTATATGAAATATTATAATATTAAGTCTATGAAGACTGTGCAATATTAGAGGTATATACTTAATCCCTAGAGTAAACACTAAAAAATAAAAAAAAGTAATATAAAGACAAAGAAAGAAAAAACAAACGGATTAGGTACACAGGAAACAATTAGTAAAATGGTAGTCCTAAGTCCAACCATTTATATTAAATGTAAATTGACTATTCACTCCAATTTCCAATCAAAAGACAGAGATTGACAGAATGGATTAAAAAAGCAAAACTATATGCTGTCTATAAGAAACATATTTTAAATAAAAAGACAGGTTGAAAATAAAAGGATAGAAAAAGAAAGAGCAAATAAGCAATCAACATAAGAAGGATAGCATGTCTATATTGATATCATATATAGTAGACTTTAAGATAAAGTGTATTACTGGCAACACAGACATTTTGTAATGATAAAAGAGTCGATTTATCAAAAGACATGACAATCACAACTGTGTATACACCTAATAACAGAGCTTCAAAATACAAGGAGCAAAAATTGACAGAATTAAATGGAGAAATAGGTAATTCCACAATGATAGTTGTGAATATTTTAGCACCTCTCTAAGGAAATGACAAATCAACTAGACAAAAAAATCAATAAAGACACAGATGATCTGAACAACATCATTAACATCTTCATCTAGGGCCGGCCCGGTGGTGCACTGCTGCAGTGCGCCGCTTGGAAAGTGCGGCAGCGCTCCCGCCGAGGGTTAGGATCCCGCATACGGACCGGCCGCTCACTGGCTGAGCGAGGAGTGGGGGCAACACCGAGGGTTGCGATCCCGTTGCCGGTCCCGGTCCGGTACGGGCGCGACACTGAGGGTTGAGATTCGTTGCCGGTCACGAAAAAAAGACAAAAAAAAAGACAAAAAAAAAAAAAACATCTTCATCTAACTGATATTTATGGAACATTATATCCAACAACTAAAGAATAAACATTCAAGTGCAGGTGGGAAATTCATCATATACTAGGCAATAAATCAACTCTCAAGAAATGTAAAAGGATCAAAATCATAGAAACTGTATCCTTTGACTATTATCCTTCATAGTCAGATTAGAAATCAATAACAGAAAGATATCTAGATAATCCTCAAATATTTAAAAATTAAATAACTTCTAATATAGTCACTGGATCGAGGAAGAGATCATAAAAGAAATCAAAAATATTTCAAACTGAATAATAATGAAAATAAAACATATCAAAATCTGTGGGATGCAGCTAAAGCAGAACATAGGGGGAAATTTAAAGCTTTATACACTTATATTAAGGGAAAAGTTACAAAATCAGTGACCTAATTTCTCACCTTAAGAAGATAGGTGAAAAAAAAAAAAATAAGTAGAAGGCAGAGAGCAGAAATCAATAAATATAAAATAAATAATAGAAAAAAACTAAAGAAGTCAAAAGTTAATTCTCTGAAAATAAGTAAAATTAATACAATTGAAAAATGCAATTTACCATGTCTGACGTAAGATAAAACAAAAAATCAGAATAGCCCACACCTATTAATGAATTTGAATTTCCTATCAAAACATTCCCACAAAGAAAATTATAGCTCCAGATAGTTGCACTCTAAATTCTGTCAAACATTTAAAAAGATAAAGCTTCAGTCGTATACAAACTCCTTTAGAAAATATGAGGGTACATCAAAAAGTTCCTCAAAAAATAGAATTAAAAGATAATACAAATCTTTCCATGAACTTTTTGAAGTATCCTCACAGAAGAGAGAACACTTTTAACTCATTTTATAAGGTATCATAACCCTGATACCAAAACCAAAGACATTACAAGAAAACTATAGACCAGTACAAATTATGAACATAGATTTAAAAAATCCTTAACAATATATTAGCAAATTCTGATACCAAAACTAGACAAAAGCATTACCAAAACCAAAACAAAAAAATTAGAGTCCAATATTACTCATGAATGTAGATGCAAAAATCCTTAACAAAATATTACAGCAAATAGAATCCAGCAATACACTAAAAGGATAGATCATGACTGAGTAAAGTTTATTCCAAGAATGCAAAGTTTGTCTAACATTTGAAAATAAATCAATATAATTCACCATATTTGCAAAATAAGGGAGAACAATTATATGGCGATTTCAATAGATGCAAAAAAGCATAGGACTAAAGCCAGAATCCATTCCTTGTAAAAGCTCTCAGCAAATTAGAAATAGATTCCTCAATCTGATAAAGAGCACACACAACAACCTACAGCTAACATAATGCTTAATGCTGAAATATGGTGAAAAACTGAAGAGGCAAAACTAATCTATGGTGAAAAATATCAGAACAGTAGTGGCTTCTAGAGAGAGGGAGTGGGGAATGACTGGGAAGAGGCATGAGGGAACCTTCTGGGGTGATATATTTGTCAAAATTCATCAAATGGCACGTTTAAGATTGCATTACACCGTATGAAAATTTTACCTCAAAAGAAAACTACCAAACTCTAGTTAATAGTATTCATGCTGAGATGTTTAGTGGTAAAATTTACTGATGTCTACAACTTTCTTTGAAATGAATCAACATAAAGATGAATTAATGGATGGATAGAGGTATTTATAGATGAATAGGGATGAATAGGTATGTGATAAAACAAATACATAGAATCTAGGTATTAGGTATATGAATATTTACTGTAAAATTCTTTCAACTTTTTTGTATGTTTGAATTTTTTATACTTCCATTAAAATTTTCAAACAAACAGATCATTTGTGAACTTTTGGAAAACAACCCATATGCAAACTATTTTAAAATTTATATATATAAAAATTATTTCCCCCATACTTTCTTACAGAAAGTATGTTTCTTATAGAAAGTATGAATTCATTGCTGCTTAGGTTCTAAAACCTGTGGACTAGTGGGAATTTACTTATCAATAATGTACACTGGTTAACTTGATTATCTGGCATAGGTCCAAGTAAGACGTGATAAAAAATGAAGTATCAGAAATGCAAAAGTTATTGAATGTGATGGTAATTTTCCTCCTAGGAAACTTCCTTTCCTTATTTAGGTTTTGCTAAAGCTACAATAAAAAGTAGTTTCCTAAGGGAGACAAAAAAGGCTACATACGAATAAGAAAGTAACCACAGTGAAATACTATTTTCTTTTCCCTGAGCCCAGAATGACTGAAAGATAAGGTCAATGTAAAGCAAATGTATGGCTTCCAAGGAAAAGCCAGTCTCATACTCATATTTTAAAGTCACTGAAGAAAATTCCTGAAGAAGACAAGGTATATATGAGTAATCCAAAGTAAAGGATGGGGAGGGGGTAAGATAAGGGGTGCTTATAAATGAATGCTGCTTTGAGATCTCAGCAAGGATGACCCAATGATAAACAGTATCATTCTCAGGGTTGAAAGAAATTCCCAGAGTCATTATAAAGCCAGAAGGAACTTTATTCTGCAGAGAGAGCCACTGCAGAACACAGAAGTGGTTACAGATTGCAGAAAGAAATCAAATGTAACAAAGAGTTCCCCTTCCATTAAGGGTTACTCCTTCTGTGTTGTAAAACCCCTCCTCCAATATTAAATAAAGTTGAAATACATTTTTATAGTAATTTTTATTTATTTATTTATTTTTATTTTTTTATTATGAATATTCATGAGATACAAAGCTAATTGTCACCCCTTGTGCCCATGATATGAGGGCCGGATTCATACTGGCAGCATACCCATTACCAGAAATTACTTTTGTACTCTGTGTCCCCACCCAATTCTCCCCCAACCTCTCTCCACCTCCCCTTTTCCCCCCT